GATAACATTTAATATAATGAGTCCTTTTTTCTTTAATTCTTTCTTTATACTTATACAATACATAATCCTTAAGCTTAATGTAGTAGCCATCCCCCAGTTTATGAAAAAGATACAAAAATCTTTGTATGTGCGCTTCACAGTGTTCGAGCAGCGTGGTGTTTGGCTGTTGTGCGCATGCGCACATAGGAAACTGCACGCGAGACTGTGAGGGAGAGAGAGAACACTGTCGCTCTCTGGCAAAATTTTTTTTTCATACATGTTTGTTTTCTTTCACACTATTTTAAAACAAAGGCTATAAATTTTCTGGATCAGCACTAGTTTTAGGTACGAGTCGCCACTAGTCTCGGAGGTGATAATTAAATGGCTGGTGTCGATACAGACTTGTAACCATTCAAGTGAGACGCCAGTCTCGTCAAGCTTTGCTTTCCCATTCCACCGACACCAATCAAAAGACCGTTGCCTCTTTCGGAACGGAGAATCCTCGCAAGCCTGCAAACATGTTCTACAGCGTCCATGAAAAATATGATTCTCATGTCCTTGCCGACGGAAAACCGATAATCTTCCAAATAATCCTGCGATGCATGTGATCACTCGTACATGATTTAACCAGTTAACTTGCGCTCGACGTGTATACACGCCAATCTTTCGAAATTTTATTTCTGTGCGGTGTACGCTCGTCGTGTAAAATAAAAACTTACCATTTACTTTAAAAAACTCCTTCCAATAAGAAGTAATAAAAATGTCATTCGCTGGTATGTTTCCTTTATATTACCAATGAAAACTGCTATGTATTTTATAAAAAAAAAAAGTTTGATTTTATTCAAAGAGATTTTATCAGACTTTATCAAAGAGAGTAATCAAACTTTTTTTTAATGAAAAAAAAAAATATCCTTCATTTATTTTTAAATGAAGCAAACACCCCTATGATCTTCTGTTTATGATAAATATAAAAATGGAAATATAATTATATAACACTAAACGTACCATTTTACATATACCTATCTTACCATAAGATATGACTGGTTATCAGATTATTATTTAACACTAAACGTGGGGTCATTTGACCTTTATAAGTAAACGTTGATTTTTAGAAAGAAATTCTTAATTTATTAAAGGAAATAATTTCTGCAACATAACTTTTTTTAGAAAGAAATTCTTAATTTATTAAAGGAAATAATTTAAGCAACGTAATTTCTGATTTCTAATAAAATACTCAAACATATATTTTTATTTAAAGTAAATATTGAAAAAGGATATGACTGGTTATCAGATTATTATTTAACACTAAACGTGGGGTCATTTGACCTTTATAAGTAAACGTTGATTTTTAGAAAGAAATTCTTAATTTATTAAAGGAAATAATTTCTGCAACATAACTTTTGATTTTTAGAAAGAAATTCTTAATTTATTAAAGGAAATAATTTAAGCAACTTCTGATTTTTAATAAAATACTCAAACATATATTTTTATTTAAAGTAAATTTTGAAAAGGTACGTTTTGCTTGGTACGTTTAGTATTAACTATAAAATGAATATCAGAGCCAATGTCAAAAGATCACTCGAATATTAAATCTTTAATATTAAAATTTAGCAATGATGAACATGATCTTCAATCTACGCGTTGATAGTTACTGAATATAGATTTGTGGCTGTGTTTCAAAGTTGCAAACCACCGATCGTAAAATTTTAAATTACGAATACATTCAAAATAAGGCTATTTCATTAATCAAGATCAGATTAAAAACAATGATCTTTTTCTTTTTTTTAAATTCTTAACACGAATTTGTACGAGTGAATGAAATCACTTGCTCTATGCAGCGATACAGAAAATCGTAAATATCGTTTTGTACGACGAAACGGAGACAACAGGCGAATCAATAGCGTCGAAGGAAATTGGGGAGAGAAATCATTAGACTAAATCGAACTGCCAAGACAACTGCGAGAAGTCACACGGCTAACTGGAGCTGCCACGGACCCGACAGGACAAAGCAGGATACGGGAGGAGGGTGTAGGGGACATCCCCAGGAGACGTGTTCGTAGCAAACGCCCACGAACGGTGACAGCCAGCGAAGATTTATGACGCTATAAAATATCATTTGTATTTGATGTCAGAGCGAGGGCTTGATTAATGCACTGCCGGGCGCACAATGAATAACTGACGTGTTGTTATAGTAACATCAATCTGAAAGAAGCGCGGGGTGAGCCCGGTACCGGTGTTGATAAATTGTGTAGATTGGAGTTGCTGTTGCTGAGATACGATCAGCGAACCTTCTACGATTCAATCATTAATGCTCTTTCCCTTGATAGAATCGTCCGTGCATTTGGTAAATTGATCCCATGTAACAGCGATGCTCTTATTGAGTTATAGGGTTGAAATCGTTGAAATCAAGGTAACACGAAAGTACTCCTTGTCATCGGAAGAACGTCAATATAATATGCGTGTTTTGCAAAACATTTTCAAAAATTACAATTGAAGGCGTATGGTTATAAATCGTTTTAAAATGAATTTTTACGTGTACAGTATGAACGACTTTGGAATTTACATATAATTATATACATGAACGAAATGTACAAGATACACAAGATGTTTATTAATCGTTCAAACTAGCGGACAACACTCTTAGTGCCAATGAATGTTGAATACCTTCATCATTGAAACTATCGTTATTCCGATTTAAAAATCACAAGAGACATTCACACTGTTTTGCAGAACAAAAAATTCAGATGTCGAATGGCTAATAAAGTTTCTTGATGTTCAATTTCAATCGTTTCAAGACGCTAATAAAATTCTAATCTCTGTCTTTCTACCATATCCGATGTGACGCATTGACCGCATTGGGAACAACGTGAAAATATCGCGAAGTTTACGATATCGCCGAGCACAGGGAACCGCCGTATACAGTTTGCCCCTTATAACGCAATCATTAATCACTTACCAACAATGATTTTATTCGCGGCGAGCGGTCCGGGTGTAACGTACCGTGACGCACCCCGAACGTTGGGGAACGATACATCACCGCGATATGTAATATTGCTCTCTCGGCCTGCACAAAGAAAGAGAACAGAAGAGAGCTGTCCCGGCAGCGACGTACAGCCATCGACCGATCGCCCCATCGCCCTGAGCGGTGTCAATCGATCTTCCCGCGCGCGCCACTTTCAAACCGTGAAAACACTCTTGCCACGCTGCGCCAACAAGAAACTATGAACCGTGAAAGAAGATTGATTTCTTGCGCGTATTGTATTGCCGTGATTTATGCATTTCCTATCCGCGCCGTGTGTTCCCGTACGTACGATTTCAGTGTCGACGTGTGATTTTTGACGAGCGAGCGGCGAAGAAATACCACGACGTGGATAAACGTTGGCAATTTTTCTAATTTCTGCGCAAAGTAGTTGGAATTTTTTCTCCTTTCTTTTTCCTTTGCACGGCGTGGAATTCCGAGGAATTTGCTTCGTATTAAGCGGGTATATATATCGAATGTGTTCAACGGAGAATCTACAAAGACTCGAGATTTACTCTTGCTTTATGCCATGTCATTCGCGCAACGTAGTTTCAACATAGTTTCCAGTGCAATTCTAATTTTTGCACGATCTCTTTCCGGCGACGTTTACATAACGAACATTGTATGCCAATTCCAACACAACGGTCGAGACATCTGCGCGAAAAGTGTCTAAGAACTTGAACTTTACTTACTTGCAATCTTCACACGGCGCTTTAACGCAGGAATATGAATTGCAAAAGGCAGCGTGACAGTCGCGGAAATCGTTGCATAAATTTGCCTGTTAATTCTGGCTGCCGGTTATGAAAATGTCATAAGTCAAGTCGAATAATGCTAGCAACAAAGTAATCTACAATGCAGGCAACATACGCACTTATCTCTACGTCTCCGCGTATTCCATGTGTCGAAGCGTGAAAATGGCGAAACCCCGTCGCGGCGAGTGTCGTGCCGGTGAGCATAGCCCGTGAC